GCAATGGGGTTGAATAATTTCAAAACTGTACATATGTTCTTTATATCTAGATTTGTCTGTTTGTACTATGTATGTATATATATATATATATATATATATATATATATATATATATATATATATATATATATACACACTCACCTAAAGGATTATTAGGAACACCTGTTCAATTTCTCATTAATGCAATTATCTAATCAACCAATCACATGGCAGTGGCTTCAATGCATTTAGGGGTGTGGTCCTGGTCAAAACAATCTCCTGAACTCCAAACTGAATGTCAGAATGGGAAAGAAAGGTGATTTAAGCAATTTTGAGCGTGGCATGGTTGTTGGTGCCAGACGGGCCGGTCCGAGTATTTCACAATCTGCTCAGTTACTGGGATTTTTACGCACAACCATTTCTAGGGTTTACAAAGAATGGTGTGAAAAGGGAAAAACATCCAGTATGCGGCAGTCCTGTGGGCGAAAATGCCTTGTTGATGCTAGAGGTCAGAGGAGAATGGGCCGACTGATTCAAGCTGATAGAAGAGCAACTTTGACTGAAATAACCACTCGTTACAACCGAGGTATGCAGCAAAGCATTTGTGAAGCCACAACACGCACAACCTTGAGGCGGATGGGCTACAACAGCAGAAGACCCCACCGGGTACCACTCATCTCCACTACAAATAGGAAAAAGAGGCTACAATTTGCAAGAGCTCACCAAAATTGGACAGTTGAAGACTGGAAAAATGTTGCCTGGTCTGATGAGTCTCGATTTCTGTTGAGACATTCAGATGGTAGTCAGAATTTGGCGTAAACAGAATGAGAACATGGATCCATCATGCCTTGTTACCACTGTGCAGGCTGGTGGTGGTGGTGTAATGGTGTGGGGGATGTTTTCTTGGCACACTTTAGGCCCCTTAGTGCCAATTGGGCATCGTTTAAATGCCACGGCCTACCTGAGCATTGTTTCTGACCATGTCCATCCCTTTATGGCCACCATGTACCCATCCTCTGATGGCTACTTCCAGCAGGATAATGCACCATGTCACAAAGCTCGAATCATTTCAAATTGGTTTCTTGAACATGACAATGAGTTCACTGTAGTAAAATGGCCCCCACAGTCACCATAAGAGCATCTTTGGGATGTGGTGGAACGGGAGCTTCGTGCCCTGGATGTGCATCCCACAAATCTCCATCAACTGCAATATGCTATCCTATCAATATGGGCCAACATTTCTAAAGAATGCTTTCAGCACCTTGTTGAATCAATGCCACGTAGAATTAAGGCAGTTCTGAAGGCGAAAGGGGGTCAAACACAGTATAAGTATGGTGTTCCTAATAATCCTTTAGGTGAGTGTATATATATATATACACTCACCGGCCACTTTATTAGGTACACCTGTCCAACTGCTCGTTAACACTTAATTTCTAAGCAGCCAATCACATGGCGGCAACTCAGTGCATTTAGGCATGTAGACATGGTCAAGACAATCTCCTGCAGTTCAAACCGAGCATCAGTATGGGGAAGAAAGGTGATTTGAGTGACTTTGAACGTGGCATGATTGTTGGTGCCAGAAGGGCTGGTCTGAGTATTTCAGAAACTGCTAATCTACTGGGATTTTCACGCACAACCATCTCTAGGGTTTACAGAGAATGGTCCGAAAAAGAAAAAACATCCAGTGAGCGGCAGTTCTGTGGGCGGAAATGCCTTGTTGATGCCAGAGGTCAGAGGAGAATGGCCAGACTGGTTCGAGCTGATAGAAGGGCAACAGTGACTGAAATAACCACTCGTTACAACCGAGGTATGCAGCAAAGCATTTGTGAAGCCACAACACGCACAACCTTGAGGCGGATGGGCTACAACAGCAGAAGACTCCACCGGGTACCACTCATCTCCACTACAAATAGGAAAAAGAGGCTACAATTTGCAAGAGCTCACCAAAATTGAACAGTTGAAGACTGGAAAAATGTTGCCTGGTCTGATGAGTCTCGATTTCTGTTGAGACATTCAGATGTTAGAGTCAGAATTTGGCGTAAACAGAATGAGAACATGGATCCATCATGCCTTGTTACCACTGTGCAGGCTGGTGGTGGAGGTGTAATGGTGTGGGGGATGTTTTCCTGGCACACTTTAGGCCCCTTAGTGCCAATTGGGCATCGTTTAAATGCCACGGCCTACCTGAGCATTGTTTCTGACCATGTCCATCCCTTTATGGCCATCATGTACCCATCCTCTGATGGCTACTTCCACCATGTCACAAAGCTCTAATCATTTCAAATTGGTTTCTTGAACATGACAATGAGTTCACTGTACTAAAATGGCCTCCACAGTCACCAGATCTCAACCCAATAGAGCATCTTTGGGATGTGGTGGAACGGGAGATTCGCATCATGGATGTGCAGCCGACAAATCTGCGGCAACTGTGTGATGCCATCATGTCAATATGGACCAAACTCCCTGAGGAATGCTTCCAGCACCTTGTTGAATCTATGCCACGAAGAATTGAGGCAGTTCTGAAGGCAAAAGGGGGTCCAACCCGTTACTAGCATGGGGTACCTAATAAAGTGGCCGGTGAGTGTATAAACACCTATCTACCCAGCTAACAAAAATATGTTCTAAGAACATTTTGCTAACATCCCCATTAAGTTATGAAAACATTTCTGAATGGTTTTAAAAAAGTTATTTCTTGGATGTGCGAATGTTGAAGGAACATTCCATTTTAAAATGTTGCAGATATTATTATGGGAACATTACATTTGAATGTTTTCTGAACATTCTGAAACAAGGAATACGATTTAAAAGACGTTAGATTAAAACACTTCCGAAAAAAGTTCCATGAACAATGTAATGTTTTTGTGCTAACGGTTTTGAAGCCATTAGCTCCTGTGGCAGAGTTATTGGCAAGATGGAGAAGTTGCTTTAGCGATCAGCAACTACTCTCATAAAAAATGGTACAAAAGCGGTCACTGCGACGGTACCCTTTAAAAAAGGTCACAATGTACCATTTAGGTACCAATATGCTCTCGTTGGGTACAAATGTGTACCTTTTGAAAGGGTGCCGCCCCAGTGACAGCTTTTGTCCCTTTTTTTCTGAGAGTGTGTAATGTAGGTTATGTCTCTGTGTAAATATTGTGGACTTGCTGTGCTGACTCAGAGCCTGAATGGTTTCGTGAACCCACTTTTGCCACAGATAAAATAGCAGCGATGGCAAAACTCGCTGTTCCTCGTTAATCTTTGATATGAAGCGTTTTATGTACTGATTCCATTTCGATTTAGTCTTTCCCTTAAAAAAATGATTGTGTCTACAACATGGAATAACATCCATAAATGTCATTCATAAACGCCCACTAGTGACCTCACCGCGTCCACATGCTGATCCTGTTCTCAGCAGGACTTCTTTTGTAATTTCGTCCGGCTCAATCAGACAATGGTGGGAAGAGTCAGTGTAAACAGCCTCTGCCAACAAAGCAGACTATTTGCACTCGTTGCAAGTAGACACGACGTTATAATAACTGCGGATTAATATTACTAGATTAATTTGTTTATTTGTGTTTTCTTTGCATTTATTTTTTGATTGCATTTACTTGTACTGTCAGCAAGAAGCTATTTATTAAAGTTGAATTGGGGTAAATACAACCTTTCAATATTCAAATATTCAAGGGGTAAATACAACCTTTCAATATTCAAATATTCAAGTTTCAAATACCTTAAATCAAACACTGGCACAAATTTATCTCCAAATAAAAATCACTTTATTGGTATTGTGTTGGTTAACCCTTCCCGTATTAATAGTTCTGTGATACACTTCATTAAATCTCTCTTCTGTATTAATAGCAAATGTTATCTTGTACGTTGGATGGGTCTGTACCTGCACCAAAAGCATAAATTAACAGCATTACATTGTTTATCAGGAAAGTATCGCAGTTAATGCAAGATATTACTTATCCAACTAAACCGGACACTAACAGAGAGAATGGCTTGTTTATTAACAGCAATAACTGATAAGGATATATTAATGACAGATCAATGTTACACAAATATTGATTTCCTGTAGTTCTATGCTAACGGTTTAACTTTAACACACTTAAGTAACAGTCGGCTAGATTAAGAAAACTGTTCAAACAAAAGGACAAAATAACCGTTGCTTGACAATGTGGGGAATGCAGGCACAGAGAGCGCTAACCTGTCGACACATGTTTTCAGTTTCTTCACGGACTGACAAGCTTTTGCACACAGCCTCACAGGGACGCGTTTCAGAGTTGATGCATGTGCTGTCGTTACAGTGTAAGCAGTTGTTCACTAAAGCGACATGCTGAACGGCGGCTTCATTATGACATGTTTGACACCAGAAAATCAAAAATTATCTATTCACAGCTTCTCTTTTGCAGCCAAAACGAGCCAGGTAAAACAGAAGAGACGTTAGACTGACAGTTGAAACACAATGCCAGTACAACCTGTGCCAACACCAGCTTCATACACAACAAACTAATTGGATATTAGTGATCTAATTTATTTCTTTTATATATTTATCGCTGCATGCACAGGACTGCTTGGATCAATCTCAATGCCTGGGTAATATTTCACTCCTAAATCTACAACTATTAAAGTTGTGACTGTATTTATGAAATTTTACCACATTTGGGAAGGGAAAGAATCTGTGACACTTTACAATAAGGTCCCGTTAGCCAATGCATTAACTAGCAATGAGCAATACGTTTGTTACAGTATTTATTCATCAAACACACAACTGTTCATTTTAGCTCAGGTCCAGTAAATAATATTATACAACTTTGGATTTTAATAATGATTTAGTAAATGTTGAAAATGAGCATTAGCTAAGATTAATAAATGCTTTAAAAGTTCATGTTATCTAATGTAGTTAACTACTGTAACCTTATTGTAAAATGTAACTAAATAATATTAGTCATTACAGTAATGAAAACAAATGTTACAGTAAAACCTTTACTTAGAAAAAAACGGGATGGGAATAGTGAGAAATACACCAAAAATGTGTGAGTTGGAATGAAATGGATATGTTTTAATGAGATTCCCCTGTCCAGTACAGCGCTAACAACAAACTATGCTAAATCAGTGTTAACATTAAATAAACAGTCCAGTTTCTTTTTTGTAAACTTACTGTAATTCACTAAACAATCAATTAACGGTCAATAAAGCTGATTATCTTCCATAATTTCTCCTGACTGTTTCGTATTATCATCTATTGACCGTCTGTCTGTACTGTAAAGACACATTGCATAGGCTAGAAGTGTGTGTGTGTGTGTGTATTCAGCTCTAAAAGTGTGGCATACCGCAGTATATTTGGTCAACTATGTCTACAGACAAGTTTAGTGAAAACACCAGTGCAAATGAGTACAGTAATAAGGTTATATTTCAAGAAAAATATATGAAAAACAAAAATACTCTAGACGCCTGAGACGTACTAACTTGGACCCTAATTGTATCTCTCTTTTCCTATTTTTTTGGATTCAATATGAATAACATGAGGTTGCAGTGTGCAAACATGTAAGGAGTCTCTTAAGGATTAAATGGCTTTAGCGCGTAAGATGACACACACGTACATGTAGCTCTTCTACTGCGTTGATATCAGTGGCGGGACTGTCACTCTGCGCGTGGCTTTCTGTATTTAACCTTCTCGTTGGATGTCACGCCATTAGTGTGGCCGTTTATTGATCCGTTCGGGTGATCGGTCTTCCGAGATCCCGCTTGTTTCTTATAGGTCTGTGGAGCAAAGAAAGGGAACGTTTTACTTTCGCTCCATTATATTCTTTCTTTATGCCAAAATGAGAATTCGTTTACCTGTATGTAGAAGTTTGAGAAGAGTAAGATAAGAGTCATGCAATAAGAGATTTGGAAATACAGCCAGCCCATTGGGAAACCACATGGCCGAACCACAGCACAAGATGTCTGGAACATGGTCAGGACGAACTGGACCTGAGGGAAAACAGCCATCAGTCATCGGTTAGAGTAGCTAAACTAAGATTGCATGCATTCAGTCTAAATTCATTATAATCTATACACTACCGTTCAAAAGTTTGGGTTTTTTCTTTTACTTTTATTCAGCAAGGATGCATTAAATTGATCAAAAGACATTCATAATGTTGCAAGACATTTCCAATTTAACTCTCTCCCGCCACTGACGCAGTTTCCCAGCTATACGTGTTCTCACTGTTATACGGCAGGGGGCGCTGTTACACATCTACTGAAAGAGGGCAAAATCTCCTGATCAAAACACAGGAGAAGCAGAAACAAGCGATGGCATATGTAATCATATGCATAATGTAAAATGACACGATCATAAACATTTAGCAGCATATCTGATATTCATACAACAAAATATTCTGAGGGCAATTGTGTGAAAATGGCCAAAAACGCTGGCAACTTCTTTCAAAAAAACTAGCGAGGAAAGCGTTAAATAAATGCTGCTCGTTTGAACTTTATATTTATCAAAAAAATCTTGAAAAAAAAAAAGGTCACTTTTTCGCACACATTTGAAGCAGCAAAACCGTTTTCAACATTAATAATAATAATCATAAATGTTTCTTGAGCATTAAATCATATTAGAGTGATTTCTGAAGGATCATGTGACACTGAAGACTGGAGTAATGATGCTGGAAATACAGCTTTGATCACAGGAATAAATTGCACGTTTAACGTATATTCACATAGAAAACAGCTGTTATAAAGTGTAATAATATTTCACAATATTGCTGTATTTTTGATACATCTTGACCCATTTATATTACTTTTGGTAACACTTTACTTGAAGGGGTGTGCATAAGACTGACATGACACCTTCATAAGCATGACACATGTTATGAATATGAAGGAAGTTTTATGCATGTTTATGACAACTGTCATTAAGTGTCATTCGCTCAATTATGACATTTTTAATGCAAATATGACATTGTTTGAGATGTCTTTGTTATGACACCTTGACATAAACCAATACATCATAACCTGTCAGTGTCTTTGTCATGACAACTTGACATTACTAAGACAACACAACCTGTCATAAACATGACATAGCAGATTAATTATCAAACTTAAGAAACCACTTAGCTTTATGGGTTAACATTACATTAAACTGTCATGTGGTTGGTTTTGACATTGGCTGTCATGAAGCCATTATAACTGTTTAATGACAAATTCAATGTGTACCACTGTAGTTGAGGTCACGAAAAATATTCATGACACAGTTATAATGGCCTCATGACAGCCAATGTCAAAACCAACCACATGACAGTTTAACTTAATTTAATGTCAAGTTGTCATGACAAAGACACTGACAGGTTATGATGTTATGGTTTATGTCAAGGTGTCATAACAAAGACATCTCAAACAATGTCATATTTGCATTCAAAATGTCATTATTGAGCGAAAGACACTTAATGACAGTTGTCATAAACATGCATAAACCCTACTTCATATTCATGACATATGTCATGTCATGGTTATGAAGGTGTCATGTCAGTCTTATGTACACCCCTTCAAGTAAAGTGTTACCTTATTTTTTAAGCATTTTTTCTTTAAAATCATACTAGGACATCTTACTAGTGAACAGTTACACATATCTCAAAGTCACTTTCTGAACAAGCTGAAACTTTGTATCCCATGTATTATAACCTCTGTTTGAAGGTGATTGGTTCAGCTCTTAGACTAATAGCAGTGCCCACACATGCCATTACAGCACAGCACTAGTTACTGTACTGAAGACGCAGGAGAAGCGTGCACTTGCCAGCTGGCCTTGAGTGATGTACTTCTTCCACCACAGATACGGTCTGATGGCCGGCACGGCGGAGAGCCCGTAATACGAGTACATCAGCACATGGATGAAGCTGTTAAACGAGGCGCCGAAATACGCTGATGAAGAGACAAGTAATACCAGCATTAGTTCATGCATTACCTTCAAACACATTCAACACATCAGGTTTATTCTAATGGTGGTTTCAACCATGTTTTTGCATTAATAGCCAGCTCAATCAAGTCAAGTCATCTTCATTTATATTTCATCAATGTAGATTGTTCCAAAGCGGCTTTACAGTGATAATAGGAAATTAAAGTTACAGAGATTGTTTTGGCTTTATGGCAGCTCTAGAATAAAGTTATTTGTCCCAATAAGACCCAATTTGTCACCACTGCGGACCAAGCGAAGTGTGAACACACTGTTAGTTTCATGTTTCTTAGTTCCTGTTTCCTGAGATCTCGTTTCTATGGTTGTCTTTGTCTGGTTTACTTCTCATTTTTGTGGTTGTATTTGAGCCCTCAGTTTGAGTTTGTGCCTTGTCCTCTGTCGTCTACGTTTACGCTTGCCTATTGTTTTCTGTTCTGCTAAGCTGATGTTCTTGTTCACCTCAGAGCCGCTTCTGTGCCACATTTGCATTGTAAATATGGCACAAGGCGAGTTCAACCTCGTTTTTGCATGAATAACCAGCACTACGCACTTCAATCAATGATCAGTATCCACAATCTATTCTAAGAAGTGAAGGAGTAGTTCACTTTAAAATGGAAATTAGCCCATGATTTACTCGCCCTCAAGCCATCCTAGGTGTATATGACTTTCTTCTTTCAGACGAACACAATCAGAGTTATATATTTTTTTTTAAATGCCCTGGCTCTTCTGAGCTTTATAATGGCAGTGAATGGCTGTTTCTGTTTTGAAGTCCATAAAGTGCATCTATCCATCATAAAAGTGCATCTATCCATCATAAAAGTGCATCTATCCATCATAAAAGTGCATCTATCCATCATAAAAGTGCATCTATCCATCATAAAAGTGCATCTGTCCATCATAAAAGTGCATCTGTCCATCATAAAAGTGCATCTATCCATCATAAAAGTGCATCTATCCATCATAAAAGTGCATCTGTCCATCATAAAAGTGCATCTATCCATCATAAAAGTGCATCTGTCCATCATAAAAGTGCATCTGTCCATCATAAAAGTGCATCTGTCCATCATAAAAGTGCATCTGTCCATCATAAAAGTTTATGGACAGAAACGGCCATTCACTGCCATTATAAAGCTTGGAAGAGCCAGGACATTTTTTAAATCATAGGCTAATTTTCATTTTCGCGTGAACTATCCCTTTAATGCCAGAGATCGAGTGAATACACCCCTTTAAATAGTATGTTACATAATGCAAGCAGTTATTTAAAGACAAGCACTTTTAGCCTGTTCTGTGTGGGTTTGTTCTTATGCATCTGAATAATTCAGCATATAATATGCAGCATAAGCGTCTGAGGAACTCACAGTGTCCACACGGCACCCAGTTCATGACGAACCACCAGATGTTGAGCATGCTGGCGTGGTGGTACACGTGCAGGAACGTGATCTGGTGGTTGTTCTTCCTCAGGATGAAGAAGAACGTGTCCATAAACTCAATGAGTTTGGAGAAGTAATACCACCAGAGTACATGAATCATCTGAGGAGGGAATAAAACAATCATTTACACATCAACTCATTTCTCTAGGCATTTAACAGAAATGTAATATTAGATGTACAGCAGTCATGATGAGAGGGAATCGTTCAGAAATCATTGATTCTCAGTTTCACTTAAAGGTTATGTTACATTCATTTTATTGCTCTCTATACACTTAACATCAAACATATATAGTGCAATGCTGTTAAAATGAAAGCTTTTCATTAGGGCAGTGCAACGATTAATCACATCCAAAAATAGAAGTTTGTGTTTACATAATAAATGTGTGTGTAGTGTGTATAATTATTTTGTATATATAAATACACACACATGCATGTATATATTTAAGACATATTTGCATGAATATACTATATATATAAGTTATATTATATATAAATATCAAATTTCTTAAATATATACATGCATGTGTGTGTATTTATATATACAAAATAATTATACACACACACACTTATTATTAGGGAATCGGGCCCGATCACGTGGTTTCAGACTCGATCGGAATCGGACGTTACCTCCCGATCAGGACTCGGAGATATGTAAATTAGGGGTGTAACGGTACATGTATTCGTAATTATTGAACCGTTTCGGTACGAGGCTTCCGGTTCGGTACGCATACAAACCGAACGATTCCTTGGACCATTTTTCCTGCAGACAAAATCCGCGCTGGCGCGATCACCACAACGCTGCGCAACATCAAATGGCAAACGTAATGAAAGCGGAACGAAACTGCACTTCTCATTATATTGTGCTTCACGGACCATTTATCAGTTCGGACCAGCAACATCTGTGCAGCGCGAGATCAAGCCACACTGTGCTGAGAGATCCAGGGAAGAAAACATTTGAGTTCGCCACTGAAGTAATAACATCGCTGCGAGATCTAGTGAGAAGCGTTCACATTTCTCTGTTATTAACCGTAGATCTCTATTAGATCATGGGCGTCGGAAGCAAAAAAAAAAGTGGGTGGGTCCTCCCCCAGAAAATGTTACTGGAGTAAATTATTGTGGCCCATCTACACTGATATGATGACGATACCATGTTAAAATTGTTTGACACTGGGACAGAAATTGAGCCCTGGCACTGTAGCCACGCCAAGCCACATTATCCTCCCCAGCCCCACCCACAGACATGAGCATTAACATGGGAGGTATTTAGGGGGGTTCGGGGGCATGCTCCTCCGAGAACATTTTGATTTCTCTGACCTACAAATGCAATTTAAGACTTTTGAAGGCCAAAAAAAAAGGATAAAAAATAGCTTTAAAAACATGTCAGTGGGCATTAGATTATTTTATCAATACCTTCTCTCTCAGTCTCCTTATCCTGGCCTATTTCTTCCCCTCCTAAAGCTGAACTTTGACTGATAGTCTTTTCATTTTCCTCTGTGTTAGTGAAGAAAGTAACATAGGCTTAACTGATATTTATATATTTTATTAATCATTTTCTTAAACAAGTTAATTTACTCAAGGCTACCAGGTCAGTATTGTCAATAGGAACCTTCTACAAGCTTTGGACTTTGAAAAGTAATTTTAAATAATACAAATTACAGGCTATACATTTAACGCAGTTTGTGGAATTGGCAGACGTTCCCTCATCATGCGCTGTGTAGGGCTGGGACGGTTACCGCATTACCGCAATACCGCGGTCACGTGACTCCAACCGCGGGTCTGAGTTCGTCACCGGCGTCACCAAAAAAAAAAAAAAAAAAAAAAAAAAAAAAAAAAAAAAACCTTGGCCTGCATGTGTGCACGTTGTGTCTAATGATATGGATTCATTGATTCTAATGACATGGATTATTTCTAATGATAGTGTGTCTTACATGGATTCAAGGTTTTCTAAACAAAACTTATCAAAAGATGGAGCAAATCCCTTTCGCGAGTTGGGGAGCGCAATGTTCCATGACACATAGCATTACATTAGTATTAGAGATGCGCGGATGGGCTATTATTATTTCATCCGCAACAGAACCGCAGCACAAAACGCATCATCTGTCCGCCAACCATCCGCACCAACGTTTTTTGATCAATTTTCGTGTTTTTAATTTTTTTATCAGTTTTAAGGTCTATGAGCGATGCAAGGCGCTGCTGCCGCGAGGCTAGAAAGCTCTTGGCTGTTCTAGAAAGGAGACTGCGCATGCAGCAAAGATATCTAAAGGCTAAAGTCCCTAGTATAGCCTATTGGCTATGTTGTATCCTCAGAATATCAGCAGTGAACTCCGTCTCTGATGGGCGCACGAGTTTCGGTTCATTTATGAGACGAGCTCCAGTTCACGCGCAAGAGATCGCACCGTCGCTTCCACATCGTCCTGATTATATGTCTGCTATATTTGTATAATTCCAGGCAATTAGTTATTGAAACGGTGATTAAAATTAAGATACAATTTATACAAAACGAAATTTAATTTAATGAAAGGCTTTCTACAAAACAAAACTTAATAAAGTGGTCAAAATCATGTCTGACCCATCTTATGATCCTATCTTATTAATGGTGTTCACTTTTCATATAATCGACATAGATTAAATAAAAAATAACATTATATTATGTTAACATAAATATGGAATATAATTTTTGTAATTAAGACATGTTGGAAAAGGTGTTCATCTTTCATTTCGTTCAACATCATAATAAATTCTCCTGAAAATGATGAATTCAATGCGAATGTATCTGAGAATATTCTTAAATAAGGAAATCTATTCAGTGATTGGTTCATGCCAAATTACAGCTTAATGAAAATTGGACTCTTTCAAATTGTGCTTGTTTTTTTTTTCGGATGTAGGTGAAAATATTTAACAAAGTCTGTCTAGAAAAAACGCCTTCTGGTGAGTGCGGGGGGGGGGGGGGGGGGGGGGGGGGGTTTAAATCGGTTTACCGCTATACCGCGGGAATATCTTGCTTTTCAACCGCGGTTAGAAAAAATCCATACCGCCCCAGCCGCTGTGCAAACGCGTCAAAGCATTCTCAGGTATAAATATGCAGCATTAATGCACGTAGGTGATTTTAAACTAATATTTAATGTCAATGGGCTGCACGCATAACTTCCGCGTTTGACGCAAGGATGCTCGTGCGTTTCCGGTTGGGGAGATTTAAAGCGGAGGAAAACGGGATTATGGCAGAGTCTTCAAAATATACTGTCCTCTCGTCTTTGAAACGAAACTTTAATACGTTTAGCTGTAATTGTATATATAGTTATGTTTATTTAATATAATAAACACAGAAGCATAAACAAAATGAGGAGTGTCTGTTTTGTCTGTTTTTGTGACTAACGTTTCTTTAGTATAGCAATAGAGTATAAAAACCAATATAAATTCTCGGTATAGCATTGGACTCTACGATCGGCGGAAGTAATCCAGCATCCTTAGACCTTCACCGGAAATACCGCCGTGCATAGAGCCCATATACAATGGTTACATAATGTTAAAACTAATCCTGCTATTGATAGAATAGTGGCTAGGGAAAACAAATGTCGGCCGAAATATATCGAACCTAAAACTAACTTTACCGCGCTCAACCACCGAGAGTGCATTTCACGCATTTGTAATCGCTCGCGTTCAGCGGGGAGGAGGGGAGGTCGGTCGGCCCAGCTCGGGACCAGCGAGATTAGTTGAGATTAATGAATCTATTTATTTATCTGAGGTGCTGGAACACAGTTCCGGCCCACTTGGTGCATTTTAATGCACTATTCGTGGATTATCCCGCTGATACCATCGTCATTAGCCATTTATTGATTATTATTGGTCATTACATGCAATAACGCAATAGGAAGGGTACAACGGGCGGCTATTTTTGTCAGTTGCGGCTCGTTGACAAATATAATGATCCAGCAGAAATGGAGTTAAATTGAGTAGGGCTTTTCTCAAGTGGAATGGATTTGACTGACGGCGCTCTGAAAAGCGAACAGACATATGAATTAGAGATGGTAAAAGTGAGTGGGTCCAATGTCATTGGTCTTAAAAGTGGGTGGGTCTTGTCCCACTCATACAATGGTTCCGACGCCCAGCTATTAGATCAAATAGCGCTGACGTGGACACCAGGAGACACATTGTGCCGTGAATGAACATGGATTTAATGTTGCACTTCAAAACTCAAATATTATATAAATATATATTTAAATGTTATTTTTAGTGTGATTACCAAAACATTATTTGTTCATCCTTCAAAGATTACCCCCATTTATAAACCTGAAAGTTTCAAGATGTAGGAAAACTCAAACTTATTTAAAAATAGTTTTTCTTTTAATAAATAGGACATTTCTCTGGCATTTCTTTCTTTTTGCTGTATCGCATCAAACCGCAAATTTTCTGAACTGTTACACCCCTAATATATATATATATATATATATATATATATATATATATATATATATATATATATATATATATATATATATATATATATATATATATACTCATTTTTTTTATACACTTTTAAAACATTTTTATTTTTTATTTACATGCCTGCCGGGTATTTTAAGTTGAGGTGCTATTTGTTTTTATATTAGACTTTTTCTATATTTACTGTTGCACTAAAGTCCAAAAGTGAAGATTTTATGTTATTTATTACTTGATTGTTCAAGCTGCCTCACAGAAGTGCTCTGCTTGTTAACAGAGTTGTTGAATGTTAAAATAAGGTGAATTAAATAACAAATAAGGAACATCCTGGATCTGTTTTTTCTCTCTTCTTTATTCTTTTTTAAAGTATTATATAAGTATCGGATCGGGACTCGGTATCGGTAGATACTCAAAATCAAATGACTCGGACTCGAGGGCAAAAAAACCTGATCGGGACATCCCTATTTATTATGTAAACACAAAATTCTATTTTTGGATGTGATTAAGCCAATGTCAAAACCAGCCACCTGACAGTTTAATGTAATGTTAACCCATAAAGCTAAGTGGTTTCTTAAGTTTGATAATTAATCTGCTATGTCATGTTTATGACATATTTATGTTGTCTTGGTAATGTCAAGTTGTCATGACAAAGACACTGACAGGTTATGATGTATTGGTATATGTCAAGGTGTCATAACAAACAATGTCATATTTGCATTAAAATGTCATAATTGAGCGAATGACACTTAATGACAGTTGTCATAAACATGCATAAACCCTCCTTCATATTCATAACATGTGTCCTGTCAGTCTTATGCTTCAAGTAAAGTGTTACCAATCGTTGCACTGCCCTACTTTTTTTAATAGCGTAACATGAAATTTGCCTTGTGAATTGTATTAAATGTGCACTGAACTGGTGTGCGTGCAGATAATATAACATTATTGAAATAAAAGGCCACTTAAGTGTACTTTGTAATGTCAAATTACATGCAAAGTATTTGATTGTAATTTTAACTTTAGGGGTTCATTCAGTATTAAGTTTAAAATTTCAATTGCAACTGCATCATTATATTTAATTTACCATAAATGCTTGTCAGAACACACTTAAATAATGAAATTATTTCTGGCTCAAAAAAGCCATATACTACATTTTTAACTAAAACCACTGTTTTATTAATTTTACCATTTTGTCATTTTTTTTTTACCATAAATGCCTGTTGTCGCTAATTTGCATCATACCTAAATTTACTCTATTCTATATGCTATAGACAAATTAACAATCTCAACTTAATTTAGCATCAGCTTGGAGCCAGAAACACAAATAATATTTTTTTTTATATGATTGTAAATAAATTCAGGCGTCAAGGGGTTAATTTCATTTCTTTTAAATAATATACCTAAGTGCAAACTGAATTTAATGTTTTTGAAGTATAATATTTCCCTAATATTTTTGAAAGTACGCTGAAGTGTACGCTTTGATTCCCGTTCCTACATTGAGTTCCTGTGTCCTTTGTTCCACTGGTTTCCTCCTGACCTGTTAACTGGTTTGCTCACCTGTATCTGGGCTAGTTCCTCATTTTCCTTTGCATGTAACGCCCTCGGTTTCCTCAGTTCCTTTGTCAAGTATTGTCTTTGGTTTTCAAAGCCTTTACGTTTGGTTTGTAAATATAAATAAGCGTGTGCTGCTACAGATCCTCCTGTCCTCGCCTGACCAGCACCGTCACATGTTTGAAAAATGACACTGACCAATCCACAACTGTGAATCCATCATATCACAGACCAGCGTTTGCTCTCGGACATCTTTAAACGAGTCTAACGCTGTGGATCATGAGGCGACTCCATGCGGTGTCCAACCTGATGATCCACACCTGTGTTCGGGAATCACTCCTAATCCTAACAATACGGTAACACAGGGAACAGAGCTACTGGAGAACGGAGATTATAACTGTACTTTGTTTTTTAAATCACTAAAAAAATATGATATAATCAAAAATGTTATATCACAATGGAATAACCCATTCATTAAAATTATAACTCAATCTGTATAAATATAATAGTATATATAGGTAAATTTATCTAGCTGTTTTTTCTCCTCTCTATGTGTACTTGTGTGTATATGTCATTGGTCTATTACTTTGTGTATGCAGCTATGTCTTTTTAATAAAAAAATTATAATAAAAAAAGTCCACGAGACCATAGGGAGTCCCATTTGTGGCTTTGTGTTTCAGAAGTGCAGACTGAGGAAGATTGTGAGGCTTCGGGTCCCGTTGGGATATTCTCTAACAGAACGGAGAATATCGCATGTATCATTTCTTTTGTGTGTATTGCATTGTATAATATCGAACACTGTTGAATCTTTGAATTGTGGGATCTCATGCATGTGAAGCTCAGTTAGTTGTGTTACCCTGGTGTCGGCCTCTCCTGCGCTGTGTGTGTCCTGGCAGAAGAAGTTGTATCCGCCTTGATACACTGACATTACCAGCTGTAGACAGAGGGAAAACAGAGGAAATGAAAAACTCAACGCCACTTTAATCAGGATTCACAATACGAAACACATTTGTGGAATTAGTTGTGGAGCAGAGAGGATCAGTTTACACTAACAAAACACACAATGTGCTCCGAGAACATTCTGCTGTAACTCGACACCCTTGCCTCATTTAGTATGCGCGGTTCTATGAATATGCAAATGAGCCCCGCCTCCACTCACTCCCTCAGCTCAGAGATCCACTGGTTGACGATCACACGTTGATCTGATTGGTTACAAGGTCGTTTGTGACGTCAGAAACACCAGCGATTTCAAACCGTGTTTTTGAGACTGTCTTTGGTTCACTGCAGTTTTAAGCAGAAAATACTCAGCAATGCTGTCGACTTATGAACTTACACATGGTGTGTCTTAAAGCGTATTAAAAACACCACATAGACACATAAACAACATTAAAAGCTGGATTTTCACCACAGGGAGTCATTCAACAGAATTTTTTTTTTTTTTTTTTTTAAATGAAACTAACATTCAAGTGTTGATAAAAAAAAAAAAAAAAAAAATGCATGAAACTAGAATAGTTTGGCTTTTTTCCCGTTTTGTTTTTGTCCTTTCTTTTGATATATTTAATGTTCAGATACTAATACAACAAAATATTTTGGGGTCATGAACGTTTTGTGAAAATGATGGCTGACAACTTCTTTTTTTTTTAAACGCTGGCGGGGAAAGAGTTAAAGACCAGATAACTCTAAACACACGTTCTATTAGCATTACTGGAAAAACATTTGTTCATAACGCTGAGAGAACCTTAAAACAACGTTAGTGTGAACGTTCCCTGTTAGTATAATGACTTTATTCATGCTGAAAACCGATGGCATTTGATGCTTGCTATCGATCAAAAATCTTTCTTCAAACTCAACAAACAAGCCATCAGATGGATCTAAACTCACAAGAGTCATCCTTATTTACGTAGGTTTTTATATATATATATATATATATATATTCAGGATCTGAGCAGATGCAGAGCCTCAGGTGTAACACTGACAGATTTACTGCCGACTTCTACAGAAAGTGGAACAAAAGTACTTCGTTTTTGTACCGTCTTTTAAACCGTCTTCCATGATCTTGTTCTCACCTCCGCAGACCTCAGTAAAATCTCCCATGAGCCTCTGATGTGTCATTGTTCATTGTCTCGTTCTGAATAATGTCCTTGTTCTTTCTGCTAAAGGTTTTTTTTAGCAAATGCCGAATGAAAGCTGCACATCTGTCCCCTGTATACAGTATAAATCCTCCTAAACCTCAGAAAATGTTCTCATTATTGCCTGACCTCATGTTACAGGGGGCGACGGCGTTCAGAGGAGGACGTCTCTATTAAAATAGCCTCTTTAAAGGACATCCAGGGGACATAAAACTGTCCCAGGATAGCCCTGATTGCTTTGTCCTGGAGCTTCTCGGGGTCACGGGTTGATTCTGCTGTTAGAGAGACTGAAATGCCTCTCTCTAAAGTCCTTAAACACAGTCCCAGCTCCGACTCGCCTCATTTCTCATTCGATCTGATAACTTATAGACGCCCTGGCGTTCCCACGGCCCGACACACAGCAGGATACGCAGAGGGGAATGGGCATTTACAGGGTTCGTACAGATACGGTACAATGAAACTCCAGGAACTTCTCAAGCACTACTATTTTGGTTTTCAAGAACTTCAATCCGAGATCTCACTTATCAAACAATATCTTTAATTATCTTTCAAATTCTAAAAAAAGGTAAATAGATCAATAAAAATGACCTAATAAAACAAAATGGTACAAATAAAGTGCAGCAGATGCAATGACTGTGGAAACTTGAAAGGATACTGTGACAAAGATATCGCTATACTTATTCAAACTGATTGCTTTGTCACCGAATAAATCTGCCGTTTTAAATCGTTTGACTAATAATAAATAATAAAAATACAGGTGAAACTCGAAAAATTAGAATATCCTGCAAAAGTTCAGTAATTCAACTTAAAAGGTGAAACTAATATATTATATAGACTCATTACATGCAAAGTGAGATATTTCAAGCCTTTATTTGTTATAATTGTGATGATTATGGCTTACAGCTTATGAAAACCTTTTCACAATATTCTAATTCTGAATTTGGGGTTTTCATAAGCTGTAAGCCATAATCATTACAATTATAACAAATAAAGGCTTGAAATATCTCACTTTGCATTTAATGAGTCTATATAATATATTAGTTTCACCTTTTAAGTTGAATTACTAAACTTTTGCACGATATTCTAATTTTTCGAGTTTCACCTGTATATAAAAAATGTATTTAAAAAAAATCATAGATGGAATAGATATAATGAATGCAAATAGTGGTAGATAGACTGCATTTATAGATAGACTATTAAGAGCGAAATATGAGATGACTTTGTTAAATATAATAAAGTAAAACAAAGATAATAAAACGGGCCTCCGATTTGTAATGTAAATTTGTTCAAAATAAAAGTCCCTCTTCCAACACGTCGGCCACTTATAAAAATCATATAAAAGCAAACGCTTTACTTTTTCGCATACCATTTACTTTCTTTGTTTACCAGTTCTGTCTAATAAAAAGTATTAGAGGTATGACTGACTGACAGAGATCGTAAACTAATGAAGAGACGGAGAATGTGAAGGAGCGCTGCCGTTCTCTTCTCAGCGCCGCCCGGCAAAATAAAAGTCCCGCTTCCAACACATTGGCCAATTCAACTTAATTTAATTTTAAATTATAAAATAATTTAAAAAATGCCAAATGTATGGGTTTGGAGTGAAATGATGGCGAGTAAACGACTTTTATTTTTGGCGAACTGTCCCTTTAAGACACGGGCCGAGAGCTTTAGTTCTTTCTCTAATGATGCTGCAGTAAAACAGCTTTAAGGTCATCGATGACTGTGATATAAGAGAACTGGTATCTGATGTATCTGTGAGCTCATTTGGGAAGCCAGACAGCGTGTCAGTTTTGCAATGCAGACGGCGTGGAGAGAGCGAATGAGGCAAGACAGGACTCTGAACTTTCAGGTGCACACGGACCGAGACTTATCAAACCTGCTCCGTTCCCAAAAAGTCAAATCATCAGTATCAAAGTGCATGTCCTTAAAGGTCCGGAGCACAATCAAATATCTCGATTGTGTAACATCTATTACAGCATAAAATCAATGGAAATGGGAGCTTTCAGGAGTGTGGGCATTGGAAAGCACTCCCGAACAGAAGGATGATGAACTCATTTAAAATAAAAACGAGTTAGCAGGACAAGCTAGTTTTATTTTAGTATCATTGAGATCATGGGCGTCAGTTTGGTTTGAAATGTGGTGGGGACAGAGACGCATTCGGAAGGGCATTTTCAAAAGTGCTGGGTACAATGACGCATTCATTCTTTTTTCTCTTTCGCGCAGGTCATGGTTTGAAAGACGATGTCCTGTAGCTTACTGATTGAAATAAATAAAAATGTATGATGTCCGACCAAAAATGTGATGGTACTTTGGGTTTAATTGGTCGTAAAATGAGATCTAATATAATGTTGTCAGAATCGAGAATTTTTACGTGAATAAATACATAGATCCGCCTGCGTTGCATATGTATTGTGATAGTCCAGTGGCAGAATTTTTGCCAAGCGTGTCGGGGGTTGAGGGTTCTAGTCCGCACTCGGTATAGTTTTTTCCCCTCATCAAAACCGATAATGTTTATCAGTGGTTGTATATCAAGAATCTTGATATACTTTATCACTGATAAACATTATCGGTTTTGATGAGGGAAAAAAAAAACTATACGAGTGCGGATTAGAACCCAGAGAAGCAGGGACACGTTTGTGTGCATTTTGAATTGTGATTTCTCTGGAACGAATAGAATCTCTGCAACGGATTGAAGCGCGCGTCCGAGTGAAGACAACACATTTCAGCGCTAGATCGCGTCTTATTTAACAAATGAATGAAACGAATGCTGCTAGTTAACTGGAGATGTTTTATTTGTATTGTTACATCCGTGACGCGAGATGTTTCAAAAGTGGTGGGGACAATATCGACCCTGGCAAAAAGTGGTGGGGACATGTCCCACCCGTCCCCCCCGTAAATGACGCCTATGATTGAGATGCTATTATAGTTTTTCTTTAATATTGAGTTTTTAATTTTGTCCTATTCCTTCAAGGAGAATCATTCAAGGGGAAAACTTGAAATGAGTTTATAATATTGTGCGTATTGAGAGGAAATTACGTATTTTTGTGTCAAAGCACTCATATTTTCTTTTTCTGCCCCATTTCTGATTTTAGATTTTAAACAAGACATTTTTTTTTTACCGTTGCATGAAAATGTGAAATATCAGCTACGGACTGACAGATTCATAAAATAATCTGGACCGAAATGACCCTCGTTGTAGTTTTTCTGGTGTAGTTTTTAGTCTCAATTGACGTCGTTGACACAACCTGTATGACTTACTTTCTTCTATGAACACCAAAGAGGATATTTCAAAAAATGTATTGTTGTTCTTATGGCTCATACAGTGAAAGTTAATGGGGTCCAAATGTTCTTTAAAATATAGTCAAACCAAAATGTATTCAGACACCTTCAACATTTCTCACATTATCTCAGTTTAATCGCTATAGTTTAGAAAATGGTAATACAATATGAGCAGAACCCAGTTGATGTTTCACTGGTTTCATCCGTCCTTCTGTTAGACTCTCACACATGAATTATGTTGAATATCTGTCAGCTGTTAAATTTAACTACACAATTAGATAATACCAGTTTAGCTCAACCAGTGACCAAGCAATGCTTCATGTTGTTCAGTCTGTGTGTAAAAAGAGCATTAGCAATTACAGAAAACACACTTCAGCAAAACATGATCAGCTCAAAGTGGAGGAATCATTTTTGCTCCCAAATGTGTATAAATGTCACTGGTAGTCACTGTATGAAGAATATCTGGGTATAATATGTCACAGTTTACTTTATTTTGTTCTCCTCACTTACATAAATGACTGTAGTGTCCTGCACACACTAGTAAAACACTATCAAACATTATATCTGGTGTCTGAATCGTTTTTGGTTTGACTGCATGTCAAATGTGATCGCTCATGATGTGACGGCTTCGTGTAAAGCGTGTGTTGTTGATTGGGAACGCACCTCGTAGAACATGTAGAGCGACAGCAGCGTCAGGCCCAGGTTATACGGCACCAGCACAGCTCTGCACGAGTACGGCTTTCGGTTCTTCATGTATTTCGGCCCCATCCACACAATCAGAAGGTACAGAGCCGTGAAGATAATCGTGGGGATGTAGTTTTCCAGCAGAAGCCATCCTTTAACCCGAGGATCTGAGAATGAGAGAGCACAAGAATCCTCAATCCGTGTTCTCACTGTTATACAGTAGGGGGCGCTGTTACACATCTACTGAAAGAGTGCAGAATCTCCTGATCAAAACACAGGAGAAGAAGAAGCAGAAACGAGCGATGGCATATGGAAGCAGATGCAAATAAAGCCTAGTTCACACTACATGATTTTAAAACGTCGGGCTGAACTGTGCGGTTCACACTACATGACTTGCTCTCTGTGAAATCAGGAGTGTTTAAGTTGTTGAGCTAGTTCACACCACACGACACAACGTGATTGATCCGCAACAGGGGGTAACGCACTACACGAGTTGACAACAACTCTGTCACCCAACGATTCAATCTTGTCTGCAAACCACGTTTTGTCACGAAAAATCACGCAATAAAACGAACCGGAAATGACGCGAAACAGCACGCGCGCCAATACCAAAGCCCTGCCAATACCCAGCGAAGAAGACGAAGAAGAACACAACACGCGAATATGGACGTCAGATAGAAACTAGTGCTGCAAACTGTTTGCGCGATGATTTGCCCTGAGAAAAAAAACCCAAAAAAGAAAAAATAAGTATTTACCCGGTGACCTCAACCCATGCCTTGCTCTGATTGGCTGTAGCTCATGACATCACGTGAGGTTGAGTCGTGCGACAGCTCTGGATCTCTAGCATGCTAGATAGTTTTCTGGGCTCGGCGACGCGTCTGCGAGCGTCTTTGATGCGTTGTTGGCTCTTTCACTAACAGATTGGCGAGCGTTCATCGCCCACTAATCCCCCGCGATTTGCACGCCATAACACCCTGACCTGTCGGCGAGCTCAACGATTTGCAAATCGGGCTTAAATCGGGCTTAAAATCATGTAGTGTGAACTAGGCTTGATGCGATCAACAGCATATCTAATATTCATACAACAAAATATTCCGAGGGCGATGCCATTTTTGTGAAAATGGCCAAAAACGCCACCTATTTTTAAAACACTAGCGGGGAAACGTTTAAATAAAAGCTGCTTGTTTGAACTTTTGATTTATCAAAAAATCTTGAAAAAGGGTCACATTTTCCACACAAATATGAAGCAGCACAACGGTTTTCAACATTGATAAGCAGAAGTGTTTCTTGAGCGAGCGATAACAGCATTGCGTACGCACATGTCAAATAATGTGATCACAAATTCAACAGCATATAAATTATAAACTGCCTAATGTTTGTGACTGAGATGTGATCTAATGTCTGTGACTGAGATGTGATCTAATGTCTGTGACTGAGATGTGATCTAATGTCTGTGACTGAGATGTGATCTAATGTCTGTGACTGAGATGTGATCTAATGTCTGTGACTGAGATGTGATCTAATGTCTGTGACTGAGATGTGATCTAATGTCTGTGACTGAGATGTGATCTAATGTCTGTGACTGAGATGTGATCTAATGTCTGTGACTGAGATGTGATCTAATGTCTGTGACTGAGATGTGATCTAATGTCTGTGACTGAGATGTGATCTAATGTCTGTGACTGAGATGTGATCTAATGTCTGTGACTGAGATGTGATCTAATGTCTGTGACTGAGATGTGATCTAATGTCTGTGACTGAGATGTGATCTAATGTCTGTGACTGAGATGTGATCTAATGTCTGTGACTGAGATGTGATCTAATGTCTGTGACTGAGATGTGATCTAATGTCTGTGACTGAGATGTGATCTAATGTCTGTGACTGAGATGTGATCTAATGTCTGTGACTGAGATGTGATCTAATGTCTGTGACTGAGATGTGATCTAATGTCTGTGACTGAGATGTGATCTAATGTCTGTGACTGAGATGTGATCTAATGTCTGTGACTGAGATGTGATCTAATGTCTGTGACTGAGATGTGATCTAATGTCTGTGACTGAGATGTGATCTAATGTCTGTGACTGAGATGTGATCTAATGTCTGTGACTGAGATGTGATCTAATGTTTGTGACTGTGATGTGATCTAATGTTTGTGACTGAGATGTGATCTAATGTCTGTGACTGAGATGTGATCCAATGTCTGTGACTGAGATGTGATCCAATGTCTGTGACTGAGATGTGATCCAATGTCTGTGACTGAGATGTGATCCAATGTTTGTGACTGAGATGTGATCTAATGTTTCTGAATGAGATGTGATCTAATGTTTGTGACTGAGATGTGATCTAATGTTTGTGACTGAGATGTGATCTAATGTTTGTGACTGAGATGTGATCTAATGTCTGTGACTGAGATGTGATCTAATGTCTGTGACTGAGATGTGATCTAATGTCTGTGACTGAGATGTGATCTAATGTCTGTGACTGAGATGTGATCTAATGTCTGTGACTGAGATGTGATCTAATGTTTGTGACTGAGATGTGATCTAATGTCTGTGACTGAGATGTGATCTAATGTCTGTGACTGAGATGTGATCTAATGTCTGTGACTGAGATGTGATCTAATGTCTGTGACTGAGATGTGATCTAATGTCTGTGACTGAGATGTGATCTAATGTCTGTGACTGAGATGTGATCTAATGTCTGTGACTGAGATGTGATCTAATGTCTGTGACTGAGATGTGATCTAATGTCTGTGACTGAGATGTGATCTAATGTCTGTGACTGAGATGTGATCTAATGTCTGTGACTGAGATGTGATCTAATGTCTGTGACTGAGATGTGATCTAATGTTTGTGACTGAGATGTGATCTAATGTCTGTGACTGAGATGTGATCTAATGTCTGTGACTGAGATGTGATCTAATGTCTGTGACTGAGATGTGATCTAATGTCTGTGACTGAGATGTGATCTAATGTCTGTGACTGAGATGTGATCTAATGTTTGTGACTGAGATGTGATCTAATGTTTGTGACTGAGATGTGATCTAATGTTTGTGACTGAGATGTGATCTAATGTTTGTGACTGAGATGTGATCTAATGTCTGTGACTGAGATGTGATCTAATGTCTGTGACTGAGATGTGATCTAATGTCTGTGACTGAGATGTGATCTAATGTCTGTGACTGAGATGTGATCTAATGTCTGTGACTGTGATGTGATCTAATGTCTGTGACTGAGATGTGATCTAATGTTTGTGACTGAGATGTGATCTAATGTTTGTGACTGAGATGTGATCTAATGTCTGTGACTGAGATGTGATCTAATGTCTGTGACTGAGATGTGATCTAATGTCTGTGACTGAGATGTGATCTAATGTCTGTGACTGAGATGTGATCTAATGTCTGTGACTGAGATGTGATCTAATGTTTGTGACTGAGATGTGATCTAATGTCTGTGACTGAGATGTGATCTAATGTCTGTGACTGAGATGTGATCTAATGTTTCTGACTGAGATGTGATCTAATGTCTGTGACTGAGATGTGATCTAATGTCTGTGACTGAGATGTGATCTAATGTCTGTGACTGAGATGTGATCTAATGTCTGTGACTGAGATGTGATCTAATGTTTGTGACTGAGATGTGATCTAATGTTTGTGACTGAGATGTGATCTAATGTTTGTGACTGAGATGTGATCTAATGTCTGTGACTGAGATGTGATCTAATGTCTGTGACTGAGATGTGATCTAATGTTTGTGACTGAGATGTGATCTAATGTCTGTGACTGAGATGTGATCTAATGTTTGTGACTGAGATGTGATCTAATGTTTGTGACTGAGATGTGATCTAATGTTTGTGACTGAGATGTGATCTAATGTCTGTGACTGAGATGTGATCTAATGTCTGTGACTGAGATGTGATCTAATGTCTGTGACTGAGATGTGATCTAATGTCTGTGACTGAGATGTGATCTAATGTCTGTGACTGAGATGTGATCTAATGTCTGTGACTGAGATGTGATCTAATGTCTGTGACTGAGATGTGATCTAATGTTTGTGACTGAGATGTGATCTAATGTTTGTGACTGAGATGTGATCTAATGTTTGTGACTGAGATGTGATCTAATGTTTGTGACTGAGATGTGATCTAATGTCTGTGACTGAGATGTGATCTAATGTTTGTGACTGAGATGTGATCTAATGTCTGTGACTGAGATGTGATCTAATGTCTGTGACTGAGATGTGATCTAATGTCTGTGACTGAGATGTGATCTAATGTTTGTGACTGAGATGTGATCTAATGTTTGTGACTGAGATGTGATCTAATGTTTGTGACTGAGATGTGATCTAATGTTTCTGAACGAGATGTGATCTAATGTTTGTGACTGAGATGTGATCTAATGTTTCTGAACGAGATGTGATCTAATGTCTGTGACTGAGATGTGATCTAATGTCTGTGACTGAGATGTGATCTAATGTCTGTGACTGAGATGTGATCTAATGTTTGTGACTGAGATGTGATCTAATGTTTGTGACTGAGATGTGATCTAATGTTTGTGACTGAGATGTGATCTAATGTTTCTGAACGAGATGTGATCTAATGTTTGTGACTGAGATGTGATCTAATGTCTGTGACTGAGATGTGATCTAATGTTTGTGACTGAGATGTGATCTAATGTTTCTGAACGAGATGTGATCTAATGTTTGTGACTGAGATGTGATCTAATGTCTGTGACTGAGATGTGATCTAATGTTTCTGAACGAGATGTGATCTAATGTTTCTGAACGAGATGTGATCTAATGTTTGTGACTGAGATGTGATCCCAGGACGAGCTTCAGGACTGTGGAGCTTTAAAGGCGTCGATGGACTCGATCTGTGTTTTGATCATCGTTCTGAATCCAATCCGGGACAAAAACACACTTTTCTCAGCTGTTTTATGACACTTATACACATTCAAGTGTAGATAAAAAAATAAATGTATATATATATACACACAGTAGTCAACATTTGAAGTGGATCAAAACCTTTCATCAAAGTTATGCATTAACTTTAAACAACACCCGTTCTTGGGTTAGGACAACTTTGATTAACTTTTTTGATCCACTTCAAATGTTGACTACTGTATGCATATATATATATATATATATATATATGTATTGTATTTTCAGATATTCATACAACAAAATACACTGTGGGCCATGAAAGTGTTGTGAAAATGTCAAAAATTATGCTTAAAAAAACAAAGATGCTGGCGGGGAATCAGAATTTTATAATGTTGATTTTCCCACAAATCCCATTGTCCCTGGCGTCGCACCGACTGCTATGGCAGCCTGTTTCTTCTCCAGAAAATAAAAGTAATTTAGACTTTTTCAATATTCATCTCACAATTTCTGTTTTTTTTTTCTCACACAATTGCTAGTTGATATCTCATCATTCGGACTTACAGTAAAAAAACTCGCAATTGCAATTCTGATAAAAGGTCGCAATTACCTTTATAAATGGAAACACGCTTTTTTGGAAACACACTATAATTGTTTCCATTCTGATTGATTCATACAGTTTCCAATAATTGAGAGGCAGAGTTGTGGCGTTTTACTAATTATTATTCTCAGTCTGGAACACAAGTTTACAAGATACTGGGTTGATGATACAATGAGCACTTTTAGGTTAAAACAATCATTGGATTTGTCAAAGTTTATTTGAAACCCATTAGAACCACTTGCTTGGCTGTGTGAGACATTATTAAAATCATCAGCGTGCACTAATTTAAGCTATTAAAATAAAGTTGTAATATGTTCTGTTTGTAGGATTCAGGAACACATCATAAAGAAAAGCGAGTTAGTATTATTGGTCTTACCCCGGGGTCCCATCCAAGACTCGATGTAAGAGTTAACTCTGTGGTTAATGGCCTCCATCTTCAACCTTCGAGACAAAATCATATGAAGATTATATTTCACACACGCATTCACGACGTCCGTGAACATAATAAAACTCGTTAAAAGTCAATTGAAGTTAACTTAATAAATCCTTGTTGGAACACTTATTGATTACAGCAATAAAAATGGCCGCCTACAGCAAGGACTACCATCCATCACGTTTAATTCTCTTTATTCGCTTGTTTGTCGCTCAGTAAAGGTCAAGAAATGGTGCGTAGAAAGATCCTGAATCCAGAAACACTTTCCCAGCAGGACTAACCATGAGAAGACACGAGCGTAGAGGAACGCAGATTTACATCAGGCATTTTCACTCGAGCGTGGTGTTGCCATCAGATGTGCAGACGAGGACTTGCAAGAAAAAGCTTTTCTACCACGGATACAAGAGCTCTTTACAAAACACAAAAGGCTCAAACCCACACAGAAAGTGTATAACGGCTCAGACACACTATTTATTTAAAATATAGAAGAGATTATGCTACATTTCACAGCCTACTGTACATAAGAGGAAGGATATTGCCAATGTTAAAAACAAAAAGTAGGCGAATGGTCCAACAAATGGTTTAATTTTCTTTCTTTTGATTTTAGGGTTCTTGAAAGGTTTTCATTAAAATATTATGATGTATAAAATGGTAACAATAAATCTCATGATGCCAAACTGTCAGTATTACCACGCATTAATTATGAAGTTTTCATTTTTACTTGTGCATTATGACTATGATTGCAATTTGGAGATATAATACACTCAGAAAGCAATACACAATGATTGCTTTCAAATGAAATGACATTATATTAAGTTAAAACGTGATGAATTATAGGCATGTCACACGGCAGGACTGCTGTCACTGATTCGCGTGTTGCTTTTATACAACATATGATCTAAAACTGACACACATTTCAAGAGCATTCAAAACCGTGAATCAAAGTCTTCCTCATGAGATCAACTAAAGATCGGCTTCACCTGACATCATTAAATCATAGCGCTTTTAATCTTTAATAAAGTCATTATGATGCTCGACTCTTCCGCGTTCGCGAGGTCACGCGCATCATTCGGCCCCAGAACGCGCACTTTCAGATGGCATTTGTGTGTTTAAATCTCTTTAGCGTTATGAATCTTACCTTTAGTCTTCTCGGATATTGGGTATGTTATCTTCAGGGCTCAGTGCTGTGCGGGTGGTGTCGTCAGTGTAAACGCGTGGAAAGACCTCGGGAAGTAAAGAGCGTCATGAGTGTCTGTAGACCGCCTTAAAACTGATGCGTGTAACGGAACGCGCTCTTATACTGACGCGCGAGGGCAAAGTCTGCGCGCACTTCACTTTATCTGCATATTTAAGAGTTCAGGAACGCTTTCTTCCGAGAACAACAACAACAGCGTGTGCTCGGTACGTGTAGAAACAGGTTAAAATATCAGGAAAACAAACTTTTCGAGTGGTGACGTATTCACATTCGAAATGTCGTCACTTGTGTTTCAACTGGATTAAGAACGTAAATGTATCAGTTCTGAATTCCATTACGGCGTTCTAAGAGAAAAGCGCACGTTCTGACAGCGTGTTTTAAGAATTTTTATTTTTTTGCAAGGCGTGAACTGTTGCAGGAACTGAAGTCACCCCATTCATCTGAAGTAAGAACGGACCAATCATAGCGCTGCTCTCACGTGGAAACAGATCTGGCCAATCACAGCGCTGCTCTCATGCACCGAGCGCATCACGTGGTCCATGTTGAAGGGAACAATCACAGCGAAAGTGTCACAGATTCCACCAAAAGTGCTCACGTTGCCCACACAACAAGCATGTCACTTTTTGTTTTAAAGCTTTGGTTAATAATTATTATCTTTAAATAGATATTGTAATTTCCCCCAAGCTCTTGTGAATGTTTATGTGGAATATTGTTGAACAAAAATGTCAGTAAAAAATGACGGTCATACAAGTGATCTCTGGTTTATCTGGCCATAGTTCAGCGTGCTGATTCTTTACGATGCAGTGATACAAAATCCTATTATTTAGCATATAATATTTTAAACATCCACTTAAAGTCCCACTGAAGTGCCTTGAAACTGACAGCATGTGTTGACGTCATTTCCACTGAAACAGGAAAAGGGGCGGGGCATATCGAACAGCTCCTCCCCTTTTTTAAACAGCCAATAGCGTTTAGTTTATATCACAGTTCCAGAGCTGTTGAGTTCGTTAAAGCCGCAGTTTTAGTTATAATACAGGATTCTGTGCAGAATTCAAATGATCCGATGTTTTCTGATCTGCGTCGACTCGATCACATGATCCGCTCTGTGTGACGTGTCTTCCACTAACGTTAAACCAGACTTCATACGCCCCAATGGAAAGCATATGAATCGTTCCCTATCCCCTTTATAGTGCACTATATGATATTCACCATGTAGAATATAGTAAATATGTGAATAAGTGACTGATTTCAGCTTCAGTGTGTGTTTATAATGTAGGGGGCGGAGCTCCAGATTCTAGAGAGCATTTGATTGGGCAGAAAATCTAATGAGAAGCTGAAGTGCAGAGTGATGTCATCAATATCACTGATCCATAGTGGCAGAAAGTGAGACTAAATTCAGAATAAATCTTCTAAATATGATTTTTGAACAAACTAGTGTATAGACAACAGTAAGACGAACATATTCATACTAAAAGCCAAAAAACTAACTGTTATGTAGCCTATTTAGTAGAAACTGGGTTATCCTGCAGTTGTCGTCTTAGTTTAGGTGGCGATGTGCGATTATGTAAACCTCGAACATTGGCTAAGTAAAGTGCTTTTACTCTTATTTATTGCTCTCTAGCTCCAGAGAATATAATGATATCCTGATAAACACAACAATGAGGACTTCAAGTATCACATGCAAACGTTATTCATATTTCACACAATCTACAACAGCCAATACTCACGTTATTAAGAGAGCTTATATAATACAGCCTTCCGTCAGGCCCGTTTGTACAAAGATTATTAGAGCCAGATGCATTTTACAGAAATGCAAGAATAGTGTGAAGTTACTGGCTATTGCAATGCTTGTGAAACTGTAAATGAAGCCGACATCAGTACACACAGTGTTTTACACAATGTTTAATCAGTTCATTGAGAAGTTGCACAGCAAAAGTCTTAATATATCTAATTTATACTGTGTGTTAAGCTTTTATTGCTTCCATGGCATCAATAGCTGGCAGACACTGTCAGCGACTACTAATGATTTAATGCATTGCAGACACAAAGCTTGAATGATAGGTCTAGAAAAGGCATTGTTGGCCACTCAATAAGCTGAAATATGTACAGGAATCACTTTATTTCTAGCCATATACAGATGTTAAAGCTAACAAACTACAGAATAATGATAATCTAATTCATTTATCCATTATTGTATTAAAAAAAAGAGCCTCTGCGCCCTCTAGTGGTGGAGACTGCTTAACACAACCGCAAAACCTCAGCTATGATATAAATGTAGCGGTCCTTCAAACAATACAATTATTCAACATGATTTGTTAGTGAAAAACACAATGTACTGCACACTTCTATGCTCGTCTGCATTTAAACTCCTACATGCGTTTAGTAAAAGAAGAAGAATCAACAGTTTCATCCATAAAAATAAAAATAAAAGAAAAAAGAACGAAAGTACACTTGTTAATGCCTGATGATGAAGTACAAGTATTTACACTTCGACAATGAAAATATTACTAATTTACAATTTAGTGTTTGCTACATATACATAATCTCTCACACACTCAGACCGGAGTGAAATATGTACACATTCGGGTACAATTGCATCATGGATCTGTTTAAGCTATTAAAATAATTTGCGAATAATAAAAAATCTTCTATTTACAAATTCAACAAACCTTTGGCTGACCTCGGCAATCAACACATGCTAGTTTAAATAGAAGTTGTAGAATTTTTCTGGACTGCGGTCACATACTTGGTCTTTCGCTCTCATGCAAAGGAGCTTTTTATATATATATAAATAGGATATATATATATGATTTGCGTTGGTTTCGAGCGGGCTTTATTTCCCCCTGTTGACCGGCTCTCCGATCAGCTCGGGACACTTCTCCTCCCCCTTGGCGATTCGGTCGCACTTGTGAAGCAGGTCGTAGTTGATTTTGTCTGTAATGACACTGTCCTGCTTGTACTGAGGATGTTTGGCCACAAATTCCCTCATCCACTTCGCCATAGTCATCAGCTCACCTGAGAAAAACACAAGTCAAAGTGTATGAATACTTTCATTTCAGTCTGATCATTTCCACGGAGGTGAATCAATCAAAATTAACTTTAGCTGGAAAATAACATTATTCAAGAACCGCTATAAAACCAAAACAATCTCTGTTACCTTAAATTATATTAAGTTTATCTCTGTAAAGCTGCTTTGAAACAATCCATTGTTAAAGGCGCTATATAAATGAAGATGACTTGACTTAAAGGAAATATGAGCAAAATCATCCAAATAATCAATCTGAATATTCGAAGCCTCAATAGCTTCTCAATTTTAAAAAATAAGTTAAAGTACTGGCTACTATCACAACAGATCTGCAACCACTAATGACTGTTTTGTACATTATCTGTTTTATATTCCGGTTTTAAATTTTATATTATGCACATGTATGTATTGTGATGTTTTATGTGGTGTTTATGTAATGTATGTTATTTTATTTGTTTACCTGCCCAGGGACAGCAGATGTAAACTAGCTATTAGCTAATTCTGGTGCAATTACTTTTAATTGTGCATTGTCCCGGTAAAAATAAACAATAAAATGAAATGAAAATGAAATGAAAAAAAATAAAAAAATCACTAGTTTATCTGAAATGTCATTCTTAAAGTGTAACGGCTTCGTATGCAATGTCAGTAGTAGTGTTGTCAAACAAATAATGACTCCACTCTTGACTAAATAACTTTAATTGTAAAGGCCCTTTCACACCGGACGCGTAACGAAAAAGCGAATAATTCGCGTCAAAACCATTCACATCGGCCGCGACGTTCAATATTCAATATTCCAATATTACTTCAATATTCAATATTACTATAATATAATACTTCAATATTCCAAAACTTTCGCGCCGACAGCTGAGAAAACACAGACACTTCATCATCATCATCATCATCATCATCCAGCTTTTCGTTTTCTTTATAACAGGGTTCCTACAGGTTTCTTCAAGTTAAATTCAAGTCTTTTTAAGACCATTTATATTAAAAATGAATACTTATTTCACATCCCTACCAGCAAAGATAAACAAATTCCTTCAACTTGTGTTCATTTATTTTTCAAATGTGGAATGGGTAAAAGATGATAAGCCAAGCAGGTGAGAAAAATAAAAACATTTCAGTAGGCCACAAGAAAGTTTGCCGAACAATGTTAAGTTGTTTTTTAACATTAGCTAGCTACTTATTCCATGCTGGGAATATGGGGAACTGAGAGACCCCTGAACAATAAACATCGAAAATCATAATAATCGTGGTTGACAAATGAAACTTTTGAGGAAAAATACAATACGGAGAAGTTACACATACAGCAGTGTTAATCTCGACAGCAAATTCTGATTTAGTTTTAGTCTCAGTCTTTTGACTAAAAATATGACAAACTAATTTTAGTCATATTTTAGTCATCTGAATTGTTTTAGTTTTAGTCTAGTTTTAGTGGACGAAATACAATAAGATTTTAGATTTTTTTTTTTTTTTTGATTTTCTAAATCTACTGTAAACTAAATCTACAGTAGATTTAGTCGACTAAAATATAATGGGTTTAGGTAAATTGTAATGCGTTAATTTAGAATTTCTCTAAAATTTCCAAACCCATATACTCCCGGAGAAAACATATATTAACCTACAGAAATACTAAGAAATACACTGACAAACAGCACAATTTTTAAGACCCAGACATCAAAATTTAAGACTTTTTAAGGTATTATTTCCAAATTCATAAATTCAATGCTTTTAAGGCTTTAAGACCCTGCGGGAACCCTGTATAAAGACAGAAAAGAAGGTTTTGTGTGCACCCAATCTTAAAGAACAGAGAGTCTGAAGGGGAGTATGCTAATCTTGTAAAGTAGCTAAAACTTTGCCACAAAGAACCGGCCAAAGTAAGGATTACGCATTAAACATTTGAATTGTTTATTAATAAACTAGTGTTTTCTGTCAGTTTTCGGTATGAGACGCGCTCCAGTTCACGCGCCGGCGCCTCCGTGTCCTCATTATATTGTCTACTATATTTGCTTCTTATTCCTATTAATCCAGGCAATTTGTTGATGAAACATTGATTAAAATTAAGATACAATTTATACAAAACGAAATTCACTTTAAAGAAAGGCTTTCTACAAAACAAAACTTAATAAGTGGCCAAAATTATGTCTGACCCATTCCAAATGTTTTCGATATATTGGGCATCTTATGATCCTTACTCATCTCATGCGGTTCCCTTTTCATATAGATCATCAACATAGATGAAATTAAAAAAAATAGCATTATATTATTTAAACGTATATATGAAACGTATGTTTATAGGCCTATTTAAGCGTCACCCCGCTCTGCTTTATTTACGCACATGCTCTGGTGTGTGGCCTATACATGCATGCAAAAATAATATGAAACACACAACCATGAATGTTGAAAATATTCCAAAATCAATTATTTCCCTCCTAGTCAAAAATATTATAAATCATCATCACGCACTTCATCAACTCGCCGGAGACACCAACTATCCCAGCTATTTTATCCCATGCCTCGTTCTTTTGCTGGTAAGAAACACGTCATGTCATAAATGATGGGTATGCGTGCGCTGAGATGCGGAATAGCCAATATAAAAATGCTGTCATTATAAAAGCTTTCTAGTTTCAATGTGTTGCTTGTTTTTAGTTTACATTTCATGTTGTGACACTTCTCTTCTCTCGCACATAATGCTGCCACGTCAGAGCGGCCAAAGCGTCAACAAGCTTCGCCTTTGTTTCAGTGTATGTGATTGGCTGAAGCCTTTTCTGTCGCCGCAAAAGTAAAAAAAATCGACATCGAAGCATCGAAAAAAATAAAAGTGTTTTTTCCGCCGCAGCACATTCGCGTTCGGTGTGGAAGCACTCGTTACACAAACAGCTGATCAAAAAATAAAACTATCGCGCGAATTATTCGTGCGTCAAAATCGCGTCCAGTGTGAAAGGACCTTAAGTATTAATATCTATTTAACTTTTACAATGAAAACTGTCCAGTGTTATTTCACATTTGATTACTTTCATTTCTGTAGTTTAGTTTAGCCGTGTTTATTTCAGGTCACGGTTGTATTTATTTGTGCTATCGTTTACAATTTGTTTATTTGTTTTTATTTTATTTATCTGGATTTTTCTATTTACTTGTTTGTATTTACATTTTTTTGAAATGTAGTGCAATGATTTAAATAAAGCCTCCCTTGGTCTGTGTGTAAGCTTTTATAACTAAAGTGCCCAAATTATAAAACAAGTATGAGATAATATAAATATTAAATTATCAGAATGGAGGTACAGTGTTTATGGCCGTTTTCCCTGTGGTATCGAATATCGATATTTTTCAAGATATCATATTCAAGTCGGAAATTTCCGTATTGTGACAATGCTAGTCTGTAGTAAATGAACAATGTTCACTCGTTCTCTGTTCTCTGGGCCGAGAAACTCATGTTCATTCGTCAGCTAGAGTCCGCTGGATGATGCAACACTTTTGACAGCTTCACGACTTCATGAGAACGAGTTTCTTTCATTATTTCCCCCCTCGTTTGGTCTAAAACATTGTGTTCGTGATCATCCAGTTTTGAAATATTGACCAGAAACGTCTCTGGTTACTTACGTAACCTATGTTCTCTGAATAGGGAACGAGACGCTGCGGAAAGCGCAGTGGGATATCCTCTGGATGTGCCGATTGTCTGAAGCCCTATAGAATCACGCCAATCCATTGGCTGATGGCGCTCGCGCAAAGCTGGCTCCGCCCCGACGCTCTTACGTCGTAGCATGATGTACGCGCGCGCGCCATCTTCTCCTCAGATTTCTCTGCCGAAAAGAAAAACTGTCGGCAGCGCGAGGAGCTTGGCAGCGAACGCAGCGTCTCGTTCCCTATTCAGAGAACATAGGTTACGTAAGTAACCAGAGACGTTCTCTTTCATAGGTTCACTCAACGCTGCGGAAAGCGCAGTGGGAACGAAATACCAAACTCGCCAAGCTAAGCGCTGCCATAACCGGTACCAGACCAAATAAGAACAACCATGATAGGTTCAAGCAGATAGAACCTGGGAACCTGGAGTCATGTCAAGATCCAAATTATAGAACCTCACAAAGGTGTGCGGAGAGGACCAACCTGCCGCCACACAAATGTCTTCCAAGAGGGCCCCTCTAAAGAGAGCTTGAGAGGAAGCCACACTTCTGGTGGAATGCGCTCTGATGCTAAGAGGTGAAGGCAAACCACGCACCTCATAAGCCAGCGAAATAGCGTCCGTTACCCAGTGGGAAATCCTCTGCTTTGATGCTGCAAGCCCGCGGCGGCCAGCACCAAAACATACCAAGAGCTGGTTTGATTTCCTCCAACCGCTTGAGCGATCTACATACAACTTCAAAGAACGGACCGGGCAGAGCAAGTTAAGTTTCCTTTCTTCCTCAGAGGCAAAAGGAGGAGGGTGGAAAGCATTAAGGTTAACAACCTGAGAGCGGAACGCCGTAGAAAGAACCTTGGGTACATACCCCGACCTCGGCCTCAAGGTAACCCTAACCAGGCCAGGAGCGAAGTCCAAGCATGACTCACTAATAGAGAGAGCCTGCAAATCCCCTATCCGCTTCAGTGAAGATAAAGCTAACAAAAGAGCAACCTTAAGAGTCAGAATCCGCTCAGGAGCTGACTCCAAGGGCTCGAAGGGAGCCTCTGTCAAACCCTCCAGGACGACTGACAGGTCCCACGAGGGAACACTAGGGGGGCGAGCCGGTTTCAGGCGCCTAACCCCACGCATGAAGGCCGAAACTAACCTCAGTTTCCCCAAGGGAATCTCATCCGATTCTCTATGAGCAGCAATAGCTGCGACATACACTCTGAGAGTGGTAGCGGCCGCTCCGGAAGCAAACTTTTCCTGCAGGAATTCCAGCACTGAGCCTACTGGGCAGCTAACTGGGTTCCTATCATGTGCTAAGCACCACGCCTCGAACACCCTCCACTTGGAGGAATATAGCCTCCTCGTTTTTTTTTTTTTTTTTTT